ATATATATATATATATATATATATATATATATATATATGTATATATACACAGCTGAATAAATTTACCCCAGTTATTTTTATTTTGTTAGACTGTAAAATATCAAAATGTTCACCCTTTTCTTTAGAGGATAAATCTTTTTAAAAGGGTCATAAATTTATTTTAACATAAAGAAATATGCCAACATGTAATTCAGGTGATCAGACTAAATTTCACAGACTCTGGTCCGACAACGAGTATCTTTCCTATTAATTTTTGCGGTCAGATTTAAATTCTGCTAACTCAGCCCTACAGTCTTTATAAACAAGTTCAATAAGGCCACACACTTTTTTTTTGTCAAAATGAATTTACAAGCCAGAGTAGCACCCCTAGTAGCATTGCAAGGACAATACGGTACATGTTGGATCAGGATAAAAGCACATTTATGAGTGTGTGACCCGGCTGTCTTACCTCCAGGGATGAAGGGTTTGTAAGGGGCTGCAGGGGCTACAGGGGCTGCAGGGGCTCAGGAGGGTTGGACTCTGGCAAGTGGGGGACAAACTGTAAAGCAAGACATGGTGGCATGGATTAATGTCGAACTCAGTCACTCCTCACACAGACTTCTCTCGTCTGTCAGCTTCAGAGATTTGTTCTGCACCGTTAGAGTGGGTGCTGTCTATTTTCTTACTGATCAGCTAATGGTGAATAAATATGCCACTCGAGCTGGCAGAATGAGTCACAATGAGGATTTATTTGTCAACATTTAGTTACTAGTTTCAGATTTGCCATCTCAAAAGCTTCAAAGTAATACATCCATCCATCCATCCATTATCTTTACCCGTTTGTTCCATTTTGGGTCACGGGGGTCGCCGGTGCCCATGTCCAGCAATCACTGTGCGAGGGGCGGGGTACACCCTGGACGGGTCGCAAGTCCATCACAGGGCCACATAGAGACAAATGAGACAAACAACCATTCACTCTCTCACTCACACCTAGGGACAATTTAGAGTTACCAATCAGCCTAACATGCATGTTTTTGGTCTGTGGGAGGAAACCGGAGTACCCGGAGAAAACCCACGCATGCACGGAGAGAACATGCAAACTCCACCCAGAAAGGCCCCTGGACCGGGGTTTGAACCAAGGACCTGCTCGCTGAGAGGCAGCAGCTCTACCAGTTGCGCCACCGTGCTGCCTCCAAAGTAATACATAGTTTGTTTAAATTTGGGGATTTCTTACTTGGCCAGGTAGCAAGATACTGTTGTTTAAAAGAGTGCAGATTTGAAAACTCTATTTTTATTGGTCTAGAACAATGAAGTCGTAAGTTTTAGCTATATTTAAAAAAATAGAATGCTTAAGCTTCATAATGGTGCAAACATTATAAGAAGATTATTTGCTCTGTAAGTTACTGGAATTCTTAAATGGTGTCTTCGTGGACTCATTTTTCTATACATCTCAATAACATCAGAAATCAATATTTTCACTTATTTTGCACTCAGTTTACCAGCACAGGTTACATGTGTCTTTGTGTTTCAAAGGAATTTAAATGCACCACTTGTTAACTTCCTACATTTCAACAAAAAAGCTGCAATATCATGTCAGCACACTTAGAAGAAAATTTCAACATTCAAATATGCAATGAGAGTGCATCTAATGCAGCTTTTAGCTGGATTTGTTGCCAAAACAACATGGCAACATATTTATAATTTATAATCCTAAAAGCTTGATTATCGCCTGCTGCTCAATGTGTGTTCACATCTTTGTAGCACTGGGAAAACATCTCGTGAACCATGGATGTGTTTTACCGAAACTCTGAGAAAGGATTCCCTGAATGTGCATAACTCAGACCATTTTACAGATGTTGAGCCAACATATGGTGTGGTAGTAGCTGAGGGTTCTCGCTTGAGTTAAGTGCCAACAGATCATGCAAAATCTCACAAGACTGCATGAGATCCTGCATAATTTTGCTTCACCAAAACAACAGCTCAGTCATTTCTCAAAAGAAGATGATCTTAAGTCTAAAATTCTGGTTTGATAAGCCTTTTATTTATGAAGTCACTTCTTAAATTGCCTCAAGTGATACAATTTGATCTTTTTTTTTTAAACTAAACAAGACTTTTTACACCATATTTGCATTCAGATCTGCACGCTCAGCAGCCCCTAAAGCCTAAACTGCACCGACGCTGACCCAGCAAAGAGGCTCCTTTTTTTTATTGATTCCTCTGCTCAGATCTAAGTTCTGAATTCTGGGCTCCACAAAGATGTTATTGTCTCTGTGCTGCAGGAGCTCTTCAGTGCTAAACACATGCACTGGCTCACCACGGCACTAATGAACATGTTGTCATAGTAATGCAGAAAGGATGGCAGGGAAAACAACTCCTTGTGTGAAGACTCCTCGGTCTGTAGTGACGGCTCATAATTATCCAACAAACGCCAGTCATTTTGTTCAATTTGACACATCTCCTGCTTCCCAAAACTAAACCTCTAGAAGATGTTTAAGGAGATTATTTTCTTTTCGCCTCACTTTGTGCACTCTCCTGTGCAATGTGTGAAGTGAGTAGAAAATCTCAGACTCACTCACTGGTGGCGTTCACACTGAGTTTCTGATTTTCCTTGATGGAGATGCCGAGACTGAGCTAAGACCATGTCTGTCTTCACTGCAAAAGTTGCAACTAAAACAAAATCAAGAATTGTGTTGCCATAAAGCAAATAACAGTCTTGATATGTTCTCACTTACTTGACTCTGAGTAAAAATTACAAAGCATGTCTTGGTCCTGAAACATTCACTTTTCCGAAAAAATAAAATAAAATATATGTTTAGAGAAAAAATATCCCTGCAAGGCACATATTTTAGTAGTAAAACTGAAAGTTCGTGCCTTTCTTGTCATGTTTGCACTTCGCTGATGCATGTAACCCGTCTGTCAGTAAAAGCACGGAGCCCTTCCAACTCGCTGAGAGAAGCCTCCTCTGTATCTCTGCTCTGCACAGGAACAGATGCTATTTAGTGCCTAAAAATGAAAATGACATGAAAATAGCGCATGCTCAGCTGAGATAGGCAGGAGGCAGATGGATGGATCAGAGGATGAGTGCGAGGAGCTCCTACGCCTTATGGATCAGCGTTTTGTGTGCATCATTTATCACCACTTCTCTCAATTTAAAGAAAAGCTGCATTCACCCCAAATGGAGGAGTGGGCGAACGTAAGACTTCAGACTAAAATTTGATGAATATAAAAAAATCACAGGTTAACATTAGCAATAATAGAAATACCAAAATCTGCCTTTTTAGAGTCTAATATCCATTAGTCCCTGGTGGTGCTGGGGGGAGTGTGTGATTCATGCAGGAGTCATGTTTCAGGACACAAGGGAGAAAGAGGAAAAAAATCATAAGGAAAAATTCACACTAAGACACGTGCTGCATCTCTGAGGGTAATAATAATCTGTATGAAGAACTGGAGGATGTTGATCAGTTTCACTAAAATTTGGACAGCCCAAAACTTTGGACAAAATAATGGTGAGCAAACAACAGCAGGATTAGATGCAACATTAAGATGTGACAAAAACTAAAGAAACATTAATGAGAAACATGAATATCACGATGATGTCATCAATATGGACTTTGCACGGGTAAACTAAAGCACCAATAAAGATAAGAAAGTAAACTAAATAATGAGGTCGTTCTGGAGCTACAGCATTTTAAAGTTTGAACTTTGACCACTTTAGATATAAACAACAACAACAACAATAAAAAGCTGCATGAACGCATAAAATGTTGCAGGTTTAAATTAAACCAGTAAAAAAAATAAAATTAATAAAAAGAGAGAGAGAGAACTTACTCTAAAGTCAGGGAGGGGATTTTCAGTTTATCTCGTCTCTTCATGGTTGTTGCAGAACACCAGGCTGGAGATCCACTCAGCAGTGCGCTGCGCGTCACGCGCTCCTTGCCGGCTCCCAGGCGCTCATCACCGCCGCGCCGGGCTGAAAAGACCACCGGGGGTCTCTTACCAGCAGACCTTCAGAGGAAACACTCAGAATAGTTCTCTGCAAACAAGTGGGGAGCCGTTCGTCTGTAAAAGAATACAAAGGGGCGCAGCGGAGAAGAGAGGCTGATGGGTCACCGCGAACCTCCGTGAGACTGATGGGAGGGATGAGGGAGGAATCAGAGGAGGTGAGGTGGGGGAGGGGGGTGGCACTCGTCGATTCACTAGGTGGGTGACAGCAGAGGCGAGACTGAGCGATAGAAATGCGCAACATTTACAGCTTTATAATAATAATAATAATAATATTAATAATTATTATTATTATTATTGAAAACAAGCCACGTTTGGTAATTCGGGTAAAATTTACAGTAAAAGGAGGATGAAATGAAAGTTTTATGTTTTAATTCGTTATATAGAAACCTTACAGCTTTGAGTGTGAATAAACAGAAGGAGCAGAGGTCTGTCTCGCTGCTGCTGCTGGAGGGAAAGAGCTGGGGAATACCTCCAGACGCGCTCCTCGCTCTTTCTCTCCTCTTATCTGCGCATGCGCGAGCGCCTGTTTTCCAGCGGTTGGGGAAGTGATAAAATTGCACGAGTCAATTTGCACAAGGAGGAGGGTGGTGTACTGCGCGCACGTGTCCCACTCGTTGCGCCTGTGCCGCACGTGCGGGCCGAACAACAACAACATGCAGGAAAGTGTTCGCAGTGAGCCCCCGCGCACGCGTTTAGCTTTAATGCTTAAAAGTCGATTTAAACTGTGAACTCATCTGCAGCATGCAGGTTGTGACAGGAGGCGGTGAAGAGTAATTGTCACTATTTGCACCTCCTCTTCCTCGTGTTTAGGATGACACCTGTGCCCTGGTTGCTATAGGAGCTGAGGATGTCTGGTTGCTAGGGAATAGGCTTGTACAAGAAGCAATAGTGACCCATCAGTTATCATTTCATTGCACATACACACTCACACACGTGCACATCTATGGAGGGATAATTTCCTTGAGACAAAACTAATAAAAAAGCCAAGTTGTGACTGTAAACAGGCTTGGGCCCACAGAGGTGTCCTCACTTTTCTAAGTAAACCTCTAAAATCTGTAAACAATGTTTTGCACAAAATATCATTGTCAATTTAAGATGATCTTGGTCTGAAACGCTGGTGTGAAATGTACCAGGGGATATGCATTCTTTTAATTGGATTTAGTACCAACGTAGAAATATTAGATGTGAAGAAGATGAAGGAGATGGTCGTGGACTTCAGATGAAACAAACACACCTAGATGCTGAATGGACACTACTGCTGAACAGGACGCATTAGTGTTTGTTAGTAGAACCATTTGAAATTGTGATGGTGTTTTATGCTGGCGGAAAAAGCCGAACTGTGTTGAAGAATGATAACAAGATGGCAAAGCAAGAAGTCCTCTATAATATTTAATACTTAAAAAATTATTTGCCCAGCTGTTTTTTATTCAGCTCTGACCTGTTCTCCTGTAACAGACAATTTATTTCTGCTCTTCTTTGTTCACATGACTGACATTGTATTTGTCACCTTTTTGCTGCTGGTTCGTATTCCTCTTCCCCATCATCTGCAGCCTCACTGCGCTCCTCTCATGGGGATTCATCCATTTCATGTGGAGGTTTGCCTTGAAGAAGACATATCAGAACACAGATCAGTATTACTACAGTAAAAGTGACTACACTAGAAACTTTAAATAGTTTATTTCACAATAACACAGATGTCCACTTTGTCTAAACTTGGACTACGTTACATGCAAAATATAAACCTGATCTAAACTAGGTTGACCCTCTTCTATGAACTAAACACAAACTAAACATGAGTACACACGGACAAAATCATGGCAAAAATTTATGGCACAACACCAACAAACCGGATTTCGACACTCACCAGAACGTCTGGAACAAACTAGCAGGTATTTTGGGACGCTGGAGAAGGTTATATCAGGACGTCTCACCGCTGCAAGCCATTTGTCTCTTATTTGTTTGGTCCTTGGCATCGTTTCCAGGTGAGAAAATAATGAAACGAAAGTCCGTTTTCCATATTTTTTACCTTTACGGTCGTGTGACAGGATATTATATACAATAACGCAACAAGTTCAGACCATTGCTAAATTGTTTTAATCTACCTAGATTAAAAAAACAAGTGAGAAAAGCATCCTGATGCATGCTCAATAATAGTGAGAATAGAATAGAAGTGAGAAAAGCTTTATTTTCGAGGACAGTAAAGATGGTGATCCTATCCCATCAGCCACCACGCCGCGGTCATGTTCAGTTGCTTCATTGTAACTGATCAAGAAGTATTCAAAAAGCGTTCAATACAAAAATCAAGAAGTACATTTCTGTTCCATGCTGCAGAGCTGTGTGAAGCTGTGTCATCCCTTTGATGTCCTGCTGCAGAACATGAACTTGGACTACTTTATCCCTACTTTGGGGGTTTTCACTTATCACGGGTGGGCGTGGTCCCAAACACCCACGATAAATGAGGGACTACTGTAGTGTTCATACGCCCTCTGTTGGGTACATTGTACAATTACGACTGGTTCCAGCATTTTAGGGGTGAAAATTAAGAAATGCAAGTAGCAGGAGCACAATGGAACAAATATCACTGATACCGATAGGTCCCCAAACGTCTATATCGGCTTAAATTATCATTTCTTCCGATATATCCGTCGGGCTCTAATTTATATATATGTTTTAGTATACTCTTTAAAATGTGTTTATTACTTCATGGTGAGATTTTTCTAATCACTTGTTAAACATTTGACGTTTTAATTTTTCAGATTTTTTATAGGGTTTATTTTACATATTTCATATTTAACAACAACAACAATAATAATAATAATAATAATAATAATAATAATGTTTCATATTTCCTGATCATACCGACTCTTTAAACTGCATATTATTTGGTAAATATTCAGCACAGTTGTTTCTATCATTGCGTTTTGATTTTCACTGAAACTGTACTGTTCATTCCAGAATGACCCATCAAATCTGATTCTTTCTTGGCCTGACAAGCCAGTGAGGCACATGTTCAGAACATTTAACCAAAACAATCAAAATGCACACTTACGTTTTAAATTTTTTTTTATATTTTAGTTGCATATGGATTTTTTTCCCTAATGTTTCTAATTGAAATTGTTAGTTCTCTTTTTTTACTATTTATTTTTCCTCCAGGATATCGATGCAGTTGCCAAAGCTTGGGAAGATGATCCCTATCTGTTCATAGTGAGGGTGCAGACATTGTTTCATGGAGTTGAAGTTGAAGATATTGCACTTGAGCAGCTCAGTTATACTTTCACAAGTAATGAAAGATTGTTTTCTTACAAAGGCTTTTACAAATACAAATCTGAAAAGGTTAGGATGCTGTGTAAAATGTAACTAAAACCTTCTGACTGGTCATTTGCGCACAGAGATTTCTCCATATTCTTCAAATCTTCTGATGATATTATGAGCTGTATATGATGAAATATTCAAAGTCTTCCCCAATATGTAATTAGGAAACATTACTGTGAAATTGATCCCCTTTTTGAAGACAGTTTCTGTGTAATGGTCAGCAGCCCCCGCTGACCCCTCATCTGCTCTTGCCAATGTTCCTCATGCCATGTTTCTGCCCATCTTGCCATAATCCTGCCTTTTTGCTGTATTCTCTTGTCCATGTCACCTGCCGTAGTTTCTGCCCCTCATGCCATTGTTTGTTTCCCTGTTGCGCTTTCCTTATCACCCATCTATCATTGCTCACAACAACTCCTGTCGGTCAACCGTTCACCACACCCCCTCAGCCTAAGCACAGCAATCGGCCTTCATTCCATGCACCTGTTCAGCTTTATACTCACTCTGTCCCTGCCAAATTATTACACATCTCATAGTCCCTGATAATAAAGCCATTCATAGTATCCTGTTTCCATAGCCTTGTATCCTTGTTTTGCCTTGAACCCTCGCCTGTTTTTGACTCCTCACCTTGCCCGCCCCTTTGGATTTCATCTGCCTTTCTGACCACGGTTTTTGACTCTGCGCCTTTCCTAATGACCACGTCACTGGATCTCGATTTGGGTCAGTCTTCTGCTCCCTGTGACCCTGTGTATGACCCTGCTACTAATCACGGACCACAGATTTGGATTTGTCCCCCCCCATGGACCTCGAACAGCGCCAAGATCTGCTCCACTGCTGCAGCTCACTCTGCACGAGTGACGTCACTGGCACCAGCGTGACAACAGCACCTGCCATGTAGTTGATGACCAACTGACCAGAAAATACAGAGTACAGTATGGGTACAGTAGCTACAGTCAGTTATGAATCTTAGTGCACCATGATAGGTAGCATCCAGCATCTGCAGGGTGCTTGTGGGGGCGTTCATGTAAATAATGTCACCGTAATCATTGGAGAAAAGGAAAGACACAGTTACAAGGTGTTTCCTAGCATTCAGAGTTAGACAGGATCTATTTCTGAAAAAGAAACCCAATTTAACTTTCAGTTTCCTTACTAGGTTTTCCACATGGAGCTTAAGAGAGATGCGAATCGATCAAGATACCCAAATATTTATAGGAATCAACAAACTCAATCGGGACACCATTCGAGGATAAAATCAAAGGAAGAACTGCTGGGACCTACTTCCTGCTTGAAAAAAGCATCCCTTTGGTTTTGTCGGCATTTAGGACAAGTTTGAGATGGAACAAATCAGACTGGATGATGTCGAAAGCGGATTGCAAAAACTGGACAACCTTAGCAACTGTTTTAGCTCGACAATAAACAACTGTGTCATCAGCATAGAAATGTAAGGATGTATCAGGGATGATCTGACCTACATTACCTATGTAGATTGTAAAGAAGGTGGGTCCTAAGACTGAGCCTTGTGGTACACCATTGTTGACTGTTAAATAACTGGAGGAGG